GCCTAGATTCACTAACCATTTAGACAAAGAACTTCACACAAGTCCCCTCAAATTCAACCAACATTCTGATAAACATTGCACTGATATCACGAATATAATGATCAGATGTGCAAAGTACTGATATCACGAATATTATGATCAGATGTGCAAAGAAAACTAGGGGGCAAAACTAAACACTATTGAGTGGTTTGTTCTAGACACCTTGAGGAACTGAAAAGAAAGCGGGACGCCTTCGCAACACTGCTGATCAGACTGGAAGAAGGGAAGACGTACAAGCCTGGAGATGACATTCAGCTGTCCTAAGGCAAGCCATCTTACAAGCAAAATGGATATCCTTCGACAAGTTCATCTCAAATATTAACTATCACAGTGATAGCCAACGCAATTTCGAATTTCTGAGAAACCTCCAAAAAAACAGAGAAAGACCCAAGAAAGAACCATTGCGTTTAAAAAAACTGCTTACCACCGACTCCGAAATAGCTAACTGCTTTCCGAGGTTCTATTCCCACTAGCAAAAGAAAACCCCTTTTGTCAGAAAATCTTCAAGAGATTTAAAGATACAAAGTTTGGTGAAATTAAGGAAGACGCAACACCAAATGATGTGGTGAAAGTAAGGAGGACACGGTAATACCAAATAATGTACTTACTGAACCATTCAGACCTTGCCAGCAACACCAAATAATGTACTTACTGAATCATTCAGACCTTCATCAACACCAAATAATGTACTTACTGAACCATTTCCGATCTTCCAACACCAAATAATGTACTTACTGAACCATGCAGACCTTTCCAAATAATGTACTAACTAAACCGTTCAAACCTCGCAAACTTAATGCTGCGATATTACAGCTAGAGTTCAAGATGTCTCCTGGTGAAGACGATAATCATCCGGAATATCTAATTAGAATGGGACCAAAAGCCAAGGAAACCATGCTGACGCTTTTCAACAAAATCCAAGGAAACCATGCTGACGCTTTACAACAAAATCTGGGAGACAAGGAAACCATGCTGACGCTTTACAACAAAATCTGGGAGAGTAAACCATGCTGACGCTTTACAACAAAATCTGGGAGACCAGTCATGCTGACACTTTTCAACAAAATCTGGGAGACCAGTCTCCGATGGAAAATTGCCATAGTAATACCAGTACCAAAAAAGGGCGTTGCCAAAATAATGCTAGTACTGAAAAAGGGCAAAGACCCTAGCAACTTTGACAACTATAGGAAAATGGCAAGGACCCTAGCAACTTTGACAACTATAGCCCTATCTAGACCTTAGCAACTTTGACAACTATAGGCCTATCTCCCTCATAAGCGTGCTGGCTAAACTTATGGAAAGATTGATTAACAGGAGAATGACCTGGTTCCTTGAGACCAACAATATTCTTAAAAGTGGACAAGTCGGTTTAAGGCCACATAGATCAACAAACCAACATGTGGCCACTTTCTACCAACACATCAAAGATGCCCTTGATGCAAGAAATACCCTTACGGCTGTTTTCTTTGATTTCAAATCAGCATATGACCGATAGAGAAGCTAATTCTAAAATTGGCAAAGATTGGTATTAAAAGTTCAGTCAGCATATGACTTAGTATGGAAAGAGAAGCTAATTCTTCTTACGGCTGTTTTCGTCGACTTCAAATCAGCATATGACCGATAGAGAAGCTAATTCTAAAATTGGCAAAGATTGGTATTTAAGAGAAGCTAATTCAAAATTGGCACAGATTTGTATTAAGCATAACATGCTAAATTGGATAAAAGCATTCATTGGACAAAGATCGTGTAAATTCAGGTACGGAAATTCTCTTTCAAAATCCAATCTTTTACAACAGGCCTTCCACAGGGAGCTGTCACAAGCTGCACTATTTACAGGCCTTCCACAGGGAGCTGTCACAAGCTGCACTCTTTTTTCCACAGGGAGCTGTCACAACCTGCACTCTTTTCAATGTTGACAGGGAGCTGTCACAAGCTGCACTCTTTTCAATGTCTTCATCGATTGGCAGTCACGGGCATCAAGTGCTTACTTTATGCAGATGATTCATCAAGTGCTTACTTTATGCAGATGATCTTGTTCTATGGAATTCCGCTCCTAAGAAAAACGCTCTGGAGAGGACAGAAAATGGTTTTAATAGTGCACTAAATCTACTAGCAAACTGGTGCGACAACAATGGAATGGTTATCAACACAGCAAAAACTGCATTCCAAACTTTTTCTTTGGCTCATCACAACATAAACCCACTTCTAATGGACAAGGATATTACCCTAGAAAAAAACCAATGATTTCACATAAATTTTGGAATGACGTTTTACACAAATCTAACGTGGAAAAGTCACATTGCTAAAAAACAGAACGAGTCTCCAATAGACTAAATGTACTAAAACGACTTGCTGGTAGCGTATGGGCCTGTGCACGCTCAACTCTAAACACCACTTACAAGATGTTTATTCAGCTAATAATGTTGTATGTTTAACCTAATTACTGGAGGGATAAAATCAGAACCAAGCATTACGACTTATTACTGGAGGGATAAAATCACCAAATCAAGCATTACAACTAATTACTGGAGGGATAAAATCAACACTTGATGCAATGCTCCTGGTTACAGGATAGAAACACACCCAAATTACGACCAATTACTGGAGGGATAAAATCAACACCCATTGAGGCAATGCTCTAGTTACAGGAAGACACCACAATAGGCTCCCTTATCAAGAAGAAGTTACAGGAACTCCACAATATGTTCCCTTATCAAAGAAAAGGCCTTGATCCTGTTGTTGCCTTATCAAAGAAAAGGCCTTGATCCTGTATGAGAAGGTTCTCTTATCAAAGAGATGGCCTTGATCCTGTATGAGAAGCTACCTCATCAAAGAAAAGGCCTTGATCCTGTATGAGAAGCTACTTTCAAGTTCTTCAGCACCTATGAGAATAGACCAAGACATCTTAAGTTCTTCCTGTATGAGAAACTACTGCGCATTCCCATGGATAAGTTCTTCAGCACCTATGAGAATAGACCAAAACAATTAAAAACGCAATCTGGTCGAATAGAGAATGCCATAGAATTAAAGATAAAATTACAAATAGATGACAAACCAAAAAGCCTCCCTCCCATCATAAACCTATTGGCAGACACTGATGTAGTGTGTAACACCCAACTGCTTGACTTCTTCAGGAAATCAAACACCCCTCCAGAGCAAATGCGCTCACTGGCCCTTGAGACAATCAATGTCAACTATCCTGCAGATCAATGGCTCCAAGTCTTTACTGATGGGTCATACATAGAAAACCAAATTAACCTTTGTGCAGGTGTCTATTCTGAACTCTTCTCTTTCTAGGCAGCAGTGGGTCACAATAGATCCGCTTTCGAAGGAGAAATAGAGGCCATTAGGATAGCACTATGCCAATTATGTTGCCTGGATACGAAATTCACCAAAGCGGTGATACTTTCAGATTCACAGTCAGCAATAAACTCTATTGGAAACAGAGAGCCACCCAAAACAGCTGAGATAAAGGAATGTAGAAAACTCTATTAGCTGCTGAGAGGGAAAAGCAAAACAGTGGTCCTACAATGGATTCCTAGTCACTGTGGCATTAAAGGCAATGAGCTTGCTGACGCACTTGCTAAGAAGGGGACAACGATTTTGCAATGCATGGACCGGCCGATGTCTTTCCACACAATGAAGGCCTTAATCAGAAGAGAATTCAAGACCTCAAGGTACAACGAACTTAAAGCTTGAACAAAGGAGGAGCAGAGGACAGTGGCACTCTTCAACATAGCGGACTGGCCAAGAATCGAAGCCGTCGCTGAGTTGAGACATCGTACCGGACACGATTGCTTGGCAAAACACCTTCACAGATTGGGAGTATACAATCAAACTACATGCCCCTATGTAACCTACAGGAGGAAATGGAGAAGACTCACCTGATTCGGTGTCCAGCGATCAACCCACATGCCCTCTATGTAACCTACAGGAGGAAATATCAAACTACATGCCCCTATGTAACCTACAGGAGGAAATGGAGAAGACTCACCTGAATGTAACCTACAGGAGGAAATGGAGAAGACCCACCTGATTTGGTGTCCAGCTCTAAAGACAAGGACGGAAAGCCAAAGATATATACAGGAGGAAATGGAGAAGACCCACCTGATTCGGTGTTCATCAAGAGGAAATGGAGAAGACCCACCTGATTCGGTGTCCCACTCTAAAGACAAGGACGGAAAGCCAGAGATACTGGGAAGCAACTAAAGACAACGACGGAAACACAGAGATACTGGGAAGCAAAAAGACAGCTAATGAATTGCTATTAATTAACTGCTATATATGTGAGACAGCTAGTGAATTGCTATTAATTAACTGCTATAAATGTACCCCCTCCTCTTGGGGGAAGCTGAAGTCAAGGATTAAGGGCTAATGATCCCTTGATTAAGGGCTAATATGATAGATATCATAAAGCCTGCCATTTGAAATAAATGATGAGGCAGACCCCTGGGGGAAGCTGAAATCAAAGTTTAAGGGCTAATGATAAATATCATTACCCATGGGGGAAGCTGAAGTCAAGGATTAAGGGCTAATGATAAATATCATAAAGCCTTCCATTTGAAATTAATATTTGAGAAATTGGAAATTTGCACACGTTTTGTTGGCTTTCTTCACTCAAACCAATATTTCATGTATTTTAAATCGTGTTTAATAACAAAAATTGTAAGCTAACAATAAAAATAAATTTAAATAAATCGGTCAAATTTATTAATTGATAAATTTAGTGCACTAATCTAAATTCCATAATAATTTTCAAAGTATATGCATGGTATGAAATACATACATGTCTATTTTCGGACCATTATAATAACTTTTATGAATGCCTAGGTTAGATATTTATTTCAAATACAAATTTCTGTTTCTAAGTTCTAAATCGAAAGCTCACTTTAAATGTCAATCAATAACGTGTTTGCTTTTTTTTGCAATAACGAGTTATTCAATTAGTCATGAATTTAAAATGACATAATTCTGGCAATTTCATATTCATGTTGGAATTAACTAGTGAAACCAAAAAATATTTCTCTTCTTAGAAATAAATGACTAAATAATCACATCTACCTGTAAAGCCCGAAGTCAGCTAAAGGGCTAATGATAACTAAGTGAAGCCCGAAGTCAGCTAAAGGGCTAATGATAACTATCGTCTACGAAGCCCGAAGTCAGCTAAAGGGCTAATGATAACTATCAATGAAGTCAGCTAAAGGGCTAATGATAACTATCAAAACGCCGGCCATTTGAAATAAATAAATAAATATTGAAACTTCATTATGAACCATTTGAAATAAATAAATATATATATATATATTTTGAAATAAATAAATGTTATGGCATTGAGTGTCACATCTACTAGAGATTACAATCACAAAATATCTTCTAACAAGTAATCGGAGCGCACAATGGCCAATCAGAAGCCTACGATTTTTTTATTCAAACCGCTATTTTGAATACGAATGACCTTACGGCGTAAACACATTTGCCAAAATATTCTTCCCATGAAAAAAATATGTTCTTTGCAAAGCGTCTGCATCCTTTATAGCTAGATCTGGAAATCTAACTAGATATAGGAGAATCTGCTTTAGAGATTTCTCATTTAGTCAAGTCTTTACTAGTGTTGCAATCTGCAACAAACAGCGCACTCAATGTTATCCTATATGAAAATGTTTGATACTTTTCTTTAAAATGTGGGTGAAATGTAGCTCCATTTTTAATGCTATTTTATTAATTACTTTTATACATTACGATAAATTATGCAGAGAGGTTTAATAATAGGCAAAAAATCCAATTCCTCTTCACACAATATATAACGTTACCCAAACGTGAACATTGTGTCCCATTTCAACATCGGCCAAAGTGAAGGAATTTAGAAACCTCAATGTGGATGTATTCTTTGCAAAGTAAATGGCTCTCTCATAAGAGGACGAACACTTGAGTGGGCTGTTCTTATGCGTGTCAAGATACATTTGACAAGTATGTTGCCTGCTGGTTCACTGTTGCGAGATGTATGAAGTAAAGGGAGGAAAAGATTGAGCATCTTGACCATTGATAATTTATTTGTAAGCTGATACAGCCAGTGCCAATTGTGAAAATCTTGAAATCAAATTAGTGAGCGGTAAAGTGTCCGAGTTGGAGATCTTAGAATAGGGAAAGTGATGCAATAATAAATCCACATTTGCAGTTTTTACTTTGAAAATCACAGCTGCATGAAGAGAGTAGATTGCTAGAATCGGTGCATTTTATTTCGAAAAAAAATTGGACTAAATGATATTAAATAGGTTTTTTAGAAAATTGACAAATCTAAATGGCACTTAAATATCAATAAATTTTTAATGCTTGATACCACTTCCTCTATTTAAATGAAACTTGCAAAATTGATTCAACTGGTTGCATAATGGATAAAGAAGGTGAGAATCAGTCAAGAGATCTCCTCAAGCGACCCACTGTGGCTCTTTGTGTATGATTGGTGATGACGCAGTTGGCCGCCACATTTTTCATAATCATCAGGATTTCGGTAATTGAGGATGATGATGTGCAAACTAATCACGCTGTTGTCATTGTAATTCCTAAACGATCTGAAACCATGAAGAACTATGTTGAATGATTTGTTGAATGCCTGTGGAAGGTAAATCTTTTAAAATGTGAAAAATCGAAAAATTCGTCCAATCTGTTTTAAAAATATGGATATAATTACGCTCAGCTCTTCTCAACTTGGAAATTGAATGTCCAAAATTACTTACAAATAAATAGTATTGTAGATGAATTTTAATTAATTATTTACCATGTCCGAATATGATCCCTTTTATTTTCATTGAAAGAGACGCTGTTTACCTATTAGAACTTGAATTTCTCTCAATCATAGATACAGATAGTCGTATGGTTGTTTTCCTCAATGAAAAGTAGCTTAATGTTATTCGTTTTATATTGAAGCTGGAACACAAGTTGTCATTTTTGGAATAACCAATGCGGATATCACAATATCCGTTTATCTATCTGCTTTAAAGCTAATCTTTGTAGAACGGGAAACGCATAACAAATTTTAATGCAAAAGTAAATGGAAGTCTATGCAAACTGATACTGGCGTTATCAAAGCGAAATAGAAATGCAGAGCGTCGGAGTGGAGGTGGGGGTATTACTGAGAACGAAGTGTAGGCAAGAGTTGAATATATGTCGCATGAAGAAATGGTTTAAATCTTAAGTAGTTGAAATTCGGTGAAGTCGCCCAAAGTTGCGAATGATATTTCGTAAATATTGATTGGCGTGCTCGATGAGTCAGTGTTTTGCAAATGCACTCACTCGCTTAAATTGTATTGCATTAGTAATAAAATTGAGCTTTTTGTTTCAGTGAAAGAATTGGTATTAGGTATCAGAATTTAATGAAGAAAACATATTAGTTGGCATACAAGGGCCAAAAAATTTGTTTACCAACACCTTAACCTAACTGTGGATTATTTAAAATACGCAAGTATTGCAAATAATTGCAAATGAATAAAGAGTTCCCAGATAAATATAATCGATCTTTGTGGCGAGCTGAAACAAAAAAAATCATCTTCTGATTTTAGCCTGAATCAAGTTTAAACGATCTAGATTCTATTCAGATTTATTTTATTTGACCCATTGTTTCGCATAAATTATTTGTTTTGGATTTTGTATTTGGTAGTTAGTCAGAAATGACAAAATGGCGTCCTGGTAGTTCTCATTTGAACACTGTGGTGATATTGGAACAGAGCTGATTTGTAGTATTATTATGAATTAGGATTATAGATAGATGGCTAGCTGTTGCTTTTGTATCGGCTGTAACGAATGACATTGATTGGCATTAATTCCCTCAATACTACTTTTTGCATCAATTTGTAATTAAAGCAACTCAAAATTAAATAAACTTTATTTATTCTGTGAGCGTATAGGTCGTGATTGAAATTGCAGTGGAAATCGACTGCTAACTGAGTCAAGCTACCACTGCTATACATTAGAATTTCCCATATCCGGTAATTTTGTCTAATCGGATGAAAATTGACCACAAATAAGCAATAACATGTAGGTTGAGCAGAATAGTTCCTCTAAGCAACGAGTTTGGTTTGAATCTAACCCAAATTAGATTAGTTTTATTCAAATATCAACTCCATTTGTTTTCGCTCGGATGACTGCAGCTTTAGAACAGGCACAACTTGTCGAAGGAGTGTAATGGTTTGTGATAAAATGTATTGTTACCTGCGCCTGATTAGTTCGAATATCCTGTATACATTGACGGCACTACAATGGTAAGAGGTGGAATCAGTGTACGATTTGGTTGGAAAATGCTCAACTATATATTCTAACGGAAAAAAAGTTCCTTCTTCCATTGGATTTAAATCTATGAACTGATTTTCCTGCTACTGTTGAAGGATTGCACGACGAATCCCCATATTGCCCGAAAATATTTATATCAAATATTTCAAGAATTTTGACTATGTTGGTATTATTGATGAAGCTCAACCATTTTGTGCAAGACATCATCGTACTTCACTTCATTATTTGCAACTGACACGCAATTTGTTGGCCGTACCTCCACATTGAGCAAAAATGGAAATTTATCCCATTGAGAGAAGGCCACAGTATTTCCACCGAAATCTATATTACTTGTCTTGCGACCCATTATGGAGGGTCTTAGTAGCTGCATTTATTCCGTGACGCGAAATACATTAAAGCAATACATGCATCATCAGAAAAACCTGCCCAAGTTCGAATTTAACATTGGAGTTTGTCTTCAAAAAATGTGGCATTGTTATTATTTTAAACAAATTAGGTTTCAAATTCGCAACCACTTTTACATATCAGCGCGGTGAATGGATTTGAATCTGAACTGAATAAAACACCGAACGAATGTGGTTGGCTCTAAAATCATTATTACATTTTGTAAACAAATAGAGTCTAGAAACCAGTGGGTTCAAAAATGCGGGGTTGTATCGCTTTTTAAATTCAAATTTATTTAATGATCCCTTCAACGTAAGTTATATTGCATTTGCTTACAAAATTCAATATTTATGACTGGGTTTGAATTGCTTTATTCCTAGTGTAAGAGTATTATTTGGTATGGAATGTCGTCAACAAGTTGTGTTGATCAGAATTTTCCGAAGACTTGATTTTCTCTTGAAATTAGAGTTTCGAATGGCAATTACGTTCTCATTATGTTCAAAGAATTATTCGAGTTCATTTGAAATTTTTAAATGCAAAGC